GGGGGGGGGGTGTCTTCAATAAAAGTCAGTATTTAGAATCAACAATTTAGACGTATTAAGTTAATTCAAAGAAAAACAATGCATTTGTTAAAATTATTTGAAAAAACTAATTTATTCCTGAAATAAGCTAAATTTAACCTGTTCTAATTACGTTTAAGTTGGACTAATTAGATTTGATTAACTAAACCTGGAAACCCCATCAAACTATTTAGCAGATTAATATTTATTATTCATAAATACCAGAATCTTTAAAGGGACAGATATTTGTAATAGCTTTTATTTCATGGAATCTAGTATTTTTGATTTTGTTTAAGCATTGGTGAAACACGAACTTAGTTAAAATAAAAAAAAATTCTTATAAAAACTTTGCTTGGTGTTTGAAATTTATGATATATGAACCTTTTCAGTTTTATAATTAAAAATTTTCAATGCTTATGAAAGCTTAAAGTTTTTTTAAATATTTTTATTTAGCATTTAAAAAAAATTTTTTTTTATCAAATAGATTGTTTTGGTAAATGCTGATTTTATTTCATAATTCTCAATTCTGGTCACACGTCTGCGGCCTTCTTTCTTTATAGTTTCTACTATGAAGCTTTTATCATTCCTGATTTCCTCGCTAGCTGCTGTTTAGCGTTTATACCATCTTTTATCACCTTTTGAAAAAAAAAAAGATTTTTATCAAAATCCCTTTCTCTGTGCCATTTGAGATTTTTGGATTTTTAAGCATAACCTATTTTTAATTTTTGCTGGAAGGCAGGGTTGAATTTCTGAACTGTTCAGTTTTTATATATTTGATTTTTTTCAGGTTCTAATACTTCCTCCCACGGTAACACGGAAGACTGGGTTATTGTCAAAGATGAAGAAAATACATAAAATTTTAAATGTTGACTCGTTTTTTGTTGTTTTTAATTCAAACATATATAAATGTATATATAAATCATTGTTTGCCTTAACCCTTTTATATCTATTTACATCAAGTAATTCTACGAAACTTAATTTAATAATAGAAATGAACAGTTCTTAATAGTTCAATTTGACTTAAAAAAATACTTTTGTGTTATAATTATATATTTTAAACATAATTTAAGATAATATGTTTCAATATTATGATTTGCAGATGTGCCTGTGTAATGTTAAATAGTAATAAAAAAGTTCTTGATAATGTTCTCAGATGTTTCCGTCCATGAGTTTATCCCCCCCCCAAAAAAAAAAAACCCGAGTCCTAATTTAATAAATTTGAGCCGTGTCTCAAATACGCAAAAAACCGGTTATTAAGCCCCGGCTAAAATCTTGAAAGATTGAATACAATTTTGCAACCAGTATTATTTAAGCCACGTCTCAACTTTAAGCCGCGGCTTAAATTCTTCAAATTCGGCCTCTAGAGATTTAAACAAAGAATTGTTGTTAGAAAGAGGACTTCTGAAAATGAAATTATTTTTCTAAGATACATTTTTATATTTTTACCAATTAAACGCATGAACAGGGGTTCTTCTTAATTTGTCGGCTAAGCTTTTGTTTAATATTTAAAAAGTTCTACAGACCCCGATCTAAAAAAGCACATATTTTTATTAAGCTCTTCGCACATATGTTTTATATGTGTTAGCTATACAGCTGGCCAAACGTTTGGACCGAATGGGCTGAAATTTTTTTTCTTAAATCGAAGTTTGTATTCAAAATTAAATTTAACAATATTCCACGGGCAACGCCGGGCATTTCAGCCAGTCGGTATTATTTGAAAGAGAAATGTGTAAGTTGAATTTCTAAAATGCACAAATCCTACTTTCAATATGCTTAAAGTATAACTGTAAAATTATGTTCTTATCTATAGATATTTACTTTAAAGATTGTATAGCAATTATAATTGAAAATATAACTTTATTGTTTTATAGAAAATGTATTTGATATCCTGGTTTCTTTTTGAACTGAATTACTGATAGATAAATTGCGGATTTATGAAGCTGAGACAAAGAAATATGGCTAATTCCTATTGAAGAGGGGTCTTCATGAAGCGTTATATCTGGTAAAATATATTTCTAAACCTCTTAAAAGCACATTTATAACCTCTGGGCCAGTATATTTCTAAACCTCTTAAAAGCAAATTTAAAACCTCTGGACCAGTATATATCTAAACCTCTTAAAAGCAAATTTAAAACCTCTGGGCTAGTGTATCTCTAAATCTCTTAAAAGCACATTTAAAACCTCTGGGCTAGTGTATCTCTAAACCTCTTAAAAGCACATTTAAAACCTCTGGGCTAGTGTATCTCTAAACCTCTTAAAAGCACATTTAAAACCTCTGGGCTAGTGTATCTCTAAACCCCTCGGAAAATAAATTTCCAAACCTCTTGGAAAATATATTTCTAAACCTTTGGTAAAATATATTTCTAAACCTCGGGTATTTTATATTTCTAAACCTTTGGTAAAATTTATTTCTGAACCTTTGGGAAAATATATTTTTAAACCTAAGGAAAAAGTATATTTCTAAACCTCGCCTCGGGTAAATATATTTAATTCTAAAAAAGTTGAATTATTATATAAACGCACAAGAAAAGCTTGTAAAAAAAACACTTGTTCTCAAGCTATTCTTTATCTTGAATACTTGACTAATTAAAAAAATATGAATTAGTTTAAGACATTACGCTACATCGACGGAATCCTATTCATCTTCCTGCAGTGATCCCCGAAATTATGTGAAATGCAACGACGACTTTTATATTTATATTTATATTTATATTTATTAGGGTTTCCGGCGCTATTCAAATGTAATATGTGCGCGTATCTTGGTGGGCTGGGCGACATCCTTTAACGAAAGGGAGTTGTTAATTAACGGAAATTTTCAAGTCGTTAACAAACAAATAAATGAAAAAAGAGATGGGGCAATAATTAGAAAGTGTTATCAATTTGTATGCTTCAAACTGTATTTAAAATACACGAACAAATCAATTTTCATCATGTGGAAAACCATTCATATAAATAAAGTTCATTTCAAAAATTTGCAAAAATTATCAGTAAAAACATGGACAACATCTTTCATAACTGAATAAAAAGTTTAAAGGTTATGCTGTTAAAAATTTAATTTATATTAATGGATGCTCTGTAGGCAGTAAATTTTTCAAGGTTTATTTCGCAAGATTTGCACTAATAATAGTGTATTTATAATTATGACTATATTTTTTATAAAACTTTGGAATAGAATAAAATAATCATTTTTCAATCGATTTCTGACGAAAATAATTGTCTCTCGGATTTCTTTACCATTAAGGAAGAAATATTTTATCATAAAAGGGTACAGTACAGTACAGTACAACACAGTACAGTACAGTACAGTACAGTACAACACAGTACAGTACAGTACAGTACAGTACAGTACAGTACAGTACAGTACAGTACTGTACCCTTTTACGATAAAATATTTCTTCATTAATGTACTGTACTGTACTGTACAGTACATTACAGTACAGTAGATTTACAGTACAGTACAGTACAGTAAAGTACAGTACAGTACAGTACAGTACAGTACAGTACAGTACAGTACAGTACAGTACAGTACAACACAGTACAGTACAGTACAGTACAGTACAGTTTTGACTTAGAGGGTCCTATTTTGCTGAGGTTTTTACAAGGTTAAAATAATGACTTTTTTATTGTAAAATCTACACTGATAACCAGAAAACTCTAGAATGGGAAGGAAGTCGTTTTTTAAAGAAGTAATTGGCAAAATTCTCAATGATTTTTGCTTCAGAGCTTGAGTCCTTCAAATCACAGTGATTTTATGACTTGAAATAGTGCAATGCACTTGAGGCAATTGTACAGACTCATTTGACTTAATAAGTGATTTAATAACTTTCTAGTATAAAGCTATTTGCTTTGAAACGACATCAAATGCACTTCAGTTTTGCTTTAATGTCGTCTTACTATTCCATAGATTTCTGGTTTTCACTTTATATAAAAAGTTTTTAATGGTTAGTTATTTTAATTATTAATATTTCAGATCTCTTTATTTATATACTCGTTGCAAAATGTTCATTTTCTGCAAAGAATAAATTTGCACAATTACGTGTTGGTTTGCGGAATGATGTGTGATTTACAATGTTATTGTGTTGTTTGATTTGATTTTTGTTTTATATGCACAGATTAGCAAATAATTTTTCTTTTTCTTTTTTACTTTATTACGTTGATTAATTAATCATAAAGAGGTAAGTTTTTACATAACATACTTATATGTAGAAGAGGGTCATGCCTTTGCCTTTTGGTTTGATCTAACCAACTCTATAATACTCTTTTGTAGCCCTGGATATAAAGATTTTCAGACTGAAGCATGACTATTCAAAGAGATAAAAATACAACATGTCAGTATCGGAATAAACTCGGTTGTTTTCTCACTTCAAATTTATCAAAAATAGCGTAGAAGATGAACCAACAAGTTTGATTTAATGTTTTGTATTCTCAATCATAAAAAACGCTTTGGTAGATATATATGAATTGACCCCCTTTTTATTAAATTTTTGTACACTCCCCTGTAATTTTATCTTTCGAGAAGTTTTAGGAGTTATGATTAAAATGAAATATTTTAGCTGACAGACCAAAAGCACCCAATATCCCAAATACAACATCAACAATAACTGTCGAACCAACCACAACGACAACAACAACAGTCGAACCAACCACAACGACAACAACAACAGTCGAACCAACCACAACGACAACAACAACAGTCGAGCCAACCACAACGACAACAACAACAGTCGAACCAACCACAACGACGACAACAACAGTCGAACCAACACCAACTTCAACATTCGAACCATCAACAACAGTCGAACCAACACCAACAACAACAGTCAAAACAACAACAACAGTCGAGCCAACAACAACAGTCGAAACAACACCAACAACAACAGTCAAACCAACATCAACAACAGCAGTCAAACCAACAACAACAGTCGAACCAACACCAACAACAACAGTCAAACCAACACCAACAACAACAAGGGAACCAACACCAACAACAACAGTCAAACCAACAACAACAACAACAGTCGAACCAATTCCAACAACTACAGTCGAACCAACAACAACAGTCGAACCAACACCAACAACAACAGTCGAACCATCAACAACAGTCGAACCAACACCAACAACAACAGTCAAACCAACACCAACAACAACAGTCAAACCAACAACAACAGTCGAACCAACAACAACAGTCGAACCAACACCAACAACAACAGTCAAACCAACAACAACAGTCGAACCAACAACAACAGTCGAACCAACACCAACAACAACAGTCGAACCAACAACAACAGTCGAACCAACAACAACAGTCGAACCAACACCAACAACAACAGTCAAACCAACAACAACAGTCGAACCAACAACAACAGTCGAACCAACACCAACAACAACAGTCGAACCAACAACAACAGTCGAACCAACAACAACAGTCGAACCAACACCAACAACAACAGTCAAACCAACAACAACAGTCGAACCAACAACAACAGTCGAACCAACAACAACAGTCGAACCAACAACAACAGTCAAACCAACATCAACAACAACAGTCAAACCAACACCAGCAACAACAGTCGAACCAACACCAACAACAACAGTCAAACCAACACCAACAACAACAGTCAAACCAACAACAACAGTCGAACCAACAACAACCGTGGAACCAACCACAACAAGAACAGTCGAAACAACCACAACAGTCGAACCAACAACAACGACAACAACAACTGTCGAACCAACAAGAACGACAACAACAACAGTCGAACCAACAACAATGACAACAACAACAGTCGAACCAACAGCAACAACAGTTGAACCAACAGCAACAACAGTTGAACCAACAACAACGACAACAACCGCAACAACGCGAGCAAGAACTTTAGAAGCAACAACGCCAGAAGAAGTATCAACAACAACAACACCAACAACAACAACAACGCCAAAAAAGTGCCGTAAGTAGTTTATGACCTAACATAAAAATATTCATCCATTTTAAAAAAGAAATGCGTGTAATCTTGTAGCATTTGGTCTAAAAATGTTTAGAAAAAAGGCAATTTATTCTGAGGTTTCATCTCCCCAACCCAGGGACAGATTCGAAATTTTCCAAATAAAAATGTTTCAAACATGAGAAAAAGGTGTATAAATAAATATGATATTATTCCAGCTGTTTGTGGGGTTAGAAATATAGGAAGGAATCGTGTAGTGGGAGGACAAAATGCAGAGGTAAAAATATAAGGATTTTTTTTCTTAAAGGGACTTTGATGTAATTTCTTTTCTTTCTTACGAACCGGGGGCATGCCTTCTACACAACACCAACGGTACTAGGGTTTCTAACAGAAAGGGCATAACCTAAATTTCACAATTTTCGAGAAAACAAATTTTTGTCGAAAATTTTGCATTTTTTCGGATTTCGTTTTCTCGCGAAAAATGAGAGAAATTTAGCTTTTTTTCGTGAAATTTAGCTTTTATCTGTTTCGCGAAAAAAAGGCGAAAGTGCGATTTTTTTGCGAATATAAGAAATGCGAAAATTTCTCGAATAATTAATTATTGCGTTATGGTTTTCGCGAATAGTATTTTCGCGAAATTTCGCATTTTTTTGCTGGACCCTGAACGGTACCCTTATAACATTCATCTAACTGAGCAAAAATAATGAAGCAGAATTATGCAAATAGTTTATCAATTTCAATTAATTACAATAGGTGGCAACAGAGAAATGGACCAATTATACACGACGTCACTAGTGTCAATTATGATAAGGAAGACAACATTTTCTTCCATTAGTTGACATATTTTCAAAGATTAAATAAAAAAGTGTAAAAAAAGAACATAAAGCACACGAAATTGCACTAATTTTATCGTTAGAAAAGCACTTTATTATCCCTATTATTAATAATTTTGTCGGACACATAAAACTGTTGACACTTTGTGACGTCAGAATACAGCTGTACTGAGAGTGTACAAATTTTACGTTGCCATCTATTATGCTTCATAATCTATTTGGAATTATGTTTTCTCTCTAAAAAATGATAATATCCAATTGAATTTCCTCTTTATAAGTGACTTTCGGATTTTTGTAACAGCAGAAACAAGTTGGGTTATTGTCAAAATTTAACACTTTTCCAGAAAGAAAAACAACGATATATAAATTTATTTTGAAAAACAAGGATATCTTTCAAATTGTTGCTCAGATCAAGGGATCAAGGGAAATGCTGTGTGATTTAAATGGATATTGCATCAACACTCTCTTAAAACAAACAAATATAATTGTTCAATTTAAGCATAATTTTAAGATCAATTATAGAGAGTGAAATTCATACATTTACAGTATTTACAAGATTTAGACGCGACAAAAGAGCAATAGCTTATCTTAGCAAATTGGTCTAAATTGTGTCTATTCGGTCAATATGTGAAGAAGCATGTGCCCCCGTATCGGAACTTTTATACCTTGAAATATCTCTTTTTTGACCATAGCTTCAAACCAAGGTTGGTTACTCTCGATGTACGGAAAATGTCGTCTCTTAAGATATATAGATATATAGACACCCCTGTATAATTTGTAACGTCATATGAGGTTTTTATCTGTCTATCTTAGGAGACGACATTTTCTGTACATTGGAGCGCATCGAGAGAGTGTAACCAACCTTATTATACAACCTTGCTTCAAACCGAGATATGCCTTCTCTTACGCAATATTTGAGCACATTATTGTCAATTTCTCCTTTATACGTTTAAAATGTATATGCTCAGGGCTACAAAAAAGTTAGTTGGTTGAGGTAAAACCAACGGACAAGGCGTTGCGACACTTTAAAGTCGAGGCTGTCTTTAAATTTGATAAATAACTTGCAGAGTTGTCTATATCTCAGAGTTGTCTATATCTCAGAGTTGTCTATATCTCAGAGTTGTCTATATCTCAGAGTTGTCTATATCTCAGAGTTGTCCATATCTCAGAGTTGTCTATATCTCAGAGTTGTCTATATCTCAGAGTTGTCTATATCTCAGAGTTGTCTATATCTCAGAGTTGTCTATATCTCAGAGTTGTCTATATCTCAGATTAATATATATATAATGTATATATATCATTCATATTTGTTATCTTTAGCTACCCAAATGGCCGGACCAACGGCTGAATTGATTTTTTTCAATATTTTTTTTAAGTGTTTTTAAATTCCACGGGCAACGCCCGGACACTTATTGCCATTATAAAGATTTGCCTGCAGAAAATTTTAGGTTTGTTGAGTATTATGTGCGCATTTTGGCGTTGAAGCTTGGAGATAATTTAATATAATATAATATGGGACGCTCTGTTGAGTCTGTATATATCTGAAAACGGTTTTAACAAAAATATTGTTTTTAGATGGGTTCTTACAGCTGGACACTGTCACTTCCCTCGTGGTATGAAAACCAATAAACCAATTACTCGTCTCAAACTCTAATTTTTTAATATTCATATTTTTGTAATGTCATCGAGTAAGCCTTTTATATTTTAAATATTGAGAAGAATTAATTGCTTGAAAAATTAGGTTTTACAAAATAAAATTAGAATATAAACTCAGTTTTGTTGTTTTAAAGATTCCACCTCTCTCTGTATCTTTATTGAAACACAGTTTTTTCTTTTTTAAGATTTCACCTCTATCTGTATCTATATTGAAACTTAGTTGTATTGTTTTTAAGATGCCATCTCTCTGTATTTATATTGAAACTAAGTTTTATTCTTTTTAAGATTCCACCTCTCTCTGTATCTATATTGAAACCCAGTTTTTTTCTTCATAAAGATGCCACCTATCTCTGTATCTATATTGAAACCCAGTTTTGTTCTACAATAAGATTCCACCTATCTCTGTATCTATATTGAAACCCAGTTTTGTTCTACAAAAAGATTCCACCTATCTCTGTATTTATATTAAAACCCAGTTTGTTCTACAATTAGATTCCGCCTATCTCTGTATCTATATTGAAACCCAGTTTTGTTCTACAATAAGATTCCACCTATCTCTGTATCTATATTAAAACCCAGTTTGTTCTACAATAAGATTCCATCTATCTCTGTATCTATATTGAAACCCAGTTTGTTCTACAATAAGATTCCGCCTATCTCTGTATCTATATTGAAACCCAGTTTGTTCTACATTAAGATGCCACCTCTCTCTGTATCTATATTGACACNTTGAAACCCAGTTTATTCTACAATAAGATTCCGCCTATCTCTGTATCTATATTGAAACCCAGTTTGTTCTACAATAAGATTCCGCCTTTCTCTGTATCTATATTGAAACCCAGTTTGTTCTACATTGAGATGCCACCTCTCTCTGTATCTATATTGAAAACCAGTTTTTTTCTACAACAAGATTCCACCTATCTCTGTATCTATATTGAAACCCAGTTTGTTCTACAATAAGATTCCGCCTATCTCTGTATCAATATTCTGAATACATGCTGATTGTAGTTAGGGACTTAGGAATACAAGAATACATGCTGATTTTAGTTAGGGACTTAGGAATACAAGAATACATGCTGACTGAAGTCAGGGACTTAGGAATACAAGAATACATGCTGACAGAAGTCAGGGACTTAGAAATACAAGAATACACGCTGACAGAAGTCAGGGACTTAGAAATACAAGAATAAATGCAGACAGAAGTCAGGGACTTAGGAATACAAGAATACACGCTGACAGAAGTCAGGGACTTAGAAATACAAGAATACACGCTGATAAAATTCAGGGACTTAGGAATACAAGAATACATGCTGACTGAAGTCAGGGACTTGGAAATACAAGAATACACGCTGACAGAAGTCAGGGACTTAGAAATACAAGAATACACGCCGATAGAAGTCAGGGACTTAGGAATACAAGAATTCTCTACAAATTAAAAATTAAGCTTCACATCCAGCAACTGGAAACCTCATTCAAACATTAGATTAGATGTTTATAATTATATATTCTTGAAAAGCGACATAATGAGGAAATAAACATCAATATTTTCAATGTTATCAGGAAAATATAATTATGACAATCTAAATTTTAGAATTTTACACGAAAAGACTGAATTTAAATGGTTAATTTTTTACTTGCTACTTTAATGTTCTTAATGTTTTCGACAAGAATAAATAGAATCTATAATAGTGACTTAAGTCAAAGAAGGATATTGTCAATATTTAACATGGCTTTTGCTTTTAACCCTATTCCTACTAGGGAGGGGGGGGGTCAATTTGACCCCCCCCTGTAGTTTTTTTACATAACTCAAAAAGTATTGGTCTGAGGCTGTTGAAATTTTCTGACTTTTCTTACATACCCAAAGCCCT